TTTTTTTTTTTCTTGAGACAGAGTTTCACTCGGTTGCTCGGGCTGGAGTACAATAGTGTGATCTTAGCTCACTGCAGCCTCTGCCTCCTGGGTTGAAGCGATTCTCATTCCTCAGCCTCCCGAGTAGCTGGGATTACATGCGTGTGCCACCATACCTGGCTAATATTTGTATTTTTAGTAGAGACAGGGTTTCACTATGTTGAGCAGGCTGGTCTCAAACTTCTGACCTCAAGTGATCTGCCCACCTTGGCCTCTCAAAGTGCTGGGATTATAGGCGTGAGCCACCATGCCAGCCTGTTTGCTAGTGTTTAAGGAAAGATATATGAATGGGTATATATCTGCTTTAAGCCCACATACTGCATTATTAACTATAGCAAGGCTGAGAGTGCAAGGAGGGGGAAAGGAGAGGTCCATAGGCATTAAGAATTTGTGGGGCAGGTGTGTGGCTCACGCCTGTAATCCCAGCACTTTTGGAAGCTGAGGTGGGCAGATCACTTGAGGTCAGGGGTAGGAGACCAGCCTGGCCAACGTGGTGAAAACCCGTCTCTACTAAAAATACAAAAATCAGCTGGGTGTAGTGGCGCACGCCTGTAATCTCAGCTATTTGGGAGGCTGAGGTATGAGAATCACTTCAATCCGGGAGGCAGAGATTGCAGTGAGCTGAGATCTGTGCCCCTGCACGCCAGCCTGGGTGACAGAACGAGACTCTGCCTCAAATAAATAAATAAATAAATAAATAAATAAATAATTTGTGTAAAGATGATAAACTCAAATATATCGAAAGGCCCAGCGTATCAAATTATATAGGATGAGGTCAGGTGGAAGCATAACAACATGAGCGCAAGCCAAGAAGGCTGCATGCAAGTCAGGTGATGTGCTGTGGATCGTGGGGAACAGGGAACTCCTACCTGGCCTGGAAAGGTTGCTGTTGGCAGCTCCAGTGCTCCATTGGTTATAGTTAGCAGATCTTCTCAGTTTTCAAGGCATACCAGAAATCTAGGTATATTGTGTGTGTTTGTGTGTGTGAAATCTTCCTGTCAACAAATTTACAGTGTCCAAAAATACCATGAGCTTCAAAGAAAATGTTACTTTTGGACCATCTTTGTCCTCTGGTTTAGTGAAGAGTTAGACCTGGGGCTAGATGCTTATTCTATTAGCTAAGTAATGTAAGTGATGACTCCTGAACCTTGGCTTACTCATTCATTAAGTAGACATATTTTATTCTTGCTTCCTAAGATGGGTTCTTGAGGGGCTGAGAAGAAAGTGTGTGTGTATGAGCGCGTGCATGTGTGTGTGTGCGCGTGCGTATGTCTGTGTGTTTATAGAGATGGGGGTCTTGCTATGTTGCCCTGGCTGTTCTTGAACTCCTGGGCTCAAGTGATTGTCCCACCTCGGCCTCCCAAAGTGTTGGGATTATAGGCGTGAGTCACCACGCCCAGCCCAAGAAGAAAATGTGTTTTGCAGCACCAGCCACACCAGAGCTACTCAAGAAAATGTCATCTTTCTCTTGTACCGTTCTTGGATTGGCATCTGGGACAGTGGGTAGAATAAGGACTTTTTTCATTAATTAGAGCCTTTAGAATGTCAAAGCATTTTAAGAATATTAATCCATGATCTCTAGGGAAACCCACATAAATTGCTCATTTGCAGAGAAGATGACAGCAAGGTGCCAAAGAGTCGTTGACATTGATGGGAGGAATCACACACATAATGTGAATCATTATGTTAGAAGCCAGGAACCTCTGGTGTTAGCCTTTAAAAGCTTAATCTTGTGGGAAAAGCAAGTTAAACACATTGTTCGTGGAAGTCAAGTCCCCAAGCCCAGTGTTACAGTATTTCCATTAGAATTAATCCTGTTTTCTTATTCCCTTAGGAAATCACAAATTGACGCAAATAGCGAAAGTAGTCATCAAAATCTGTGAACATGAGGTATGTGTTTCTACTGTCCTGTTTTAGATGCACCCAGAGGCGGGGGATGGAGTAGCTAAAGTTTCCATTTGCAGAAAACCCTATTAGGTAGCAGAGGTGATTTTGGAATTTGTTGAGGCAGCACACCTAGTCTTTGAGAAAGGAAAAGCAACAAAGAGGGGCCCCAGAAAATATTTCTTGTTTTTTACCTTTGAGTCATGAGTAAGCACTGGGCCTCCTGTCTTTTCCCGGTTACGTAGATAGAATTCATTATTTCTGACCTTGGCCTCACCGTCTGGTGTTACATGGAATTCATCATGTCTGACCTTGGCCTCAGAGACCAGTCCCTTTTGTGTCAGGTCCCTTTTGGTTCTCTTGCAGAAGAGGATTTGGGATAATGGCCTTGACTGCTTCTGGGAGGGTAGCCCAGGTGTCCAGGAGAATCTGTTTTCTTGCAAATGCCCATAGTTGTGATGGTGTGGATGGAATGGACCTCTTAGGTATGTGAGCCGTGAGGCTCTAGTGGTTGTGGGACAGACTGGCAGCCAAAATGGCATGAGGGAGGCTTTCTGTATTAGATCCCATTGTGAGAAGAAAAAACTGAGATGTAATGGCCTTCACCCTTGTCAGTGTGGTCTCATTCATTCATAAAGAGAAACTGTTCAGAAGCATTGAGACCCATCCACGTATATCTTTTTAGATATATAGATATAGATCTATCTGGCTGTCTATCTGGATGGATAGATACAGATCTATAGATAGATAGATCCAGATAGATAGATCTATAGATACCTGGCTGGGTGTGGTGGCTCACATATGTAATCCCAGCACTTTGGGAACCTGAGGCAGGCAGATCACTTGAGTCCAGGAGTTCCAGACAAGCCTGGCCAACATGGCGAAACCCCGTCTCCACTAAAAATACAAAAATTAGCTGGATGTGGTGGAACATGCCTGTAATCAGATAAACCAAGAGGCTGAGGCAGAAGAATTACTTGAAACCTGGGAGGTAGAGGTTGCAGTGAGCCAAGATGGCACCACTACACTCCAGACTGGGTAACAACAGAGTGAGAATATTTTCAAGAAAAAAAAATGATAATGTCTATGTAAATTTATATCTATACATAGATATAGTTATCTATGTATTTTTTGCGGCGGGGTCTCCATCTGTCATCTGGGCTGGAGTGTAGTGGTGTGATCATGGCTCATTGCAGCCCCTCCTCCCAGTCTCAGGTGTTCTTCCCACCTCAGCCTCCTGGGCAGCAGAGATTAAAGGCATGCACCATCACACCCAGCTAATTAGCCTGGCTAATTTTTTTTTTTTTTTTTTAAAGAAATGGGGTTTTGCCATGTTGCCCAGGCTGGTCTCAAACTCCTGGGCTCAAGCAGTTCTTCTGCCCTGGCCTCCCAAGGTGCTGGGATTATAGGACTTAGCCACCGTGCCTGCCTTATGTCTGTATATTTATAGATAGAGAGTTTTATAACCTGCTTTTTCACTTAGTTTATTTTATGTATTTTCTCTGTTTCCTAGGTAATTAAACTTGTAGGAAGAACAGAATTTTTCATGACTGTTTAGTATTACATACAACTCATGGACATTCATTTTTACTCCTTGTCATTAAGGGTAGTACCCAGTTTTATCAGCATTTTAAGTAACAAAGTGATGAATATCATTGCACATTTGATGATTTCCTTAGTTTAATTTTTAGAAGTAAAGTTACTCTGAGGCTGTGAACATGTCAGATGTTCCAGTTACAATGAGGTGATGTCCTTTCCAATATCGGGAGTTGTAATTACAAAACTCTATGTCCCCCGCCCCCCACAACAATGAGATTTGTAAAGACAGTAGGCATCTTACTGTGATTTTACTTTGCATTTCCTTGACGACAAGTCCTGATGGGCTGTTTTGGATATGTTCCCTTGGAATAGCCCAGAAGTAGACCGGGCCAGAAGCAGGAAATGCATTCTACCATCCATGCATTTGTTCGTGCATTCATTCACTTATTTATTCGCTGACCTGTGACGTCTGTTAGTCTTATAATTATTGAACACCTGTTACATATGTAGCACCTTGCATGATGATAGGTGTTAAAGAATAAGGCTGATAGTGGTAGAAAGGAATAGCAAATTACAGTGTAGGGGACCTGCATGGGCTTTGGAGCCTGACTGCCTGGGTTCAAATCCTGACCATGCCACTTTGCCGCTGTAGGACTTTGGGCAGGTTACTCAACTTCTTGGGGCCTCATTTTCTTTATCTCATGGAGTGTAAGGAATAAGTAAGTTAATACCTACAGAATTCTTAGAATGATACCAGCACACTGTAAGCCTTCAATAAATGTTAATGTGCGCTATTGATTACTTTGTCACTTGAAGCACTTTACATTTATCTCATTTAATGTCTTGTAACAGCCCTTTGTGGTGGGTGCTGCTTTCCTTTCTTTTCAATAGATGAGCAAGTGGGGACTCCGACAAGAGAGGCAGCTTACCCCAAAGTCACAGAGCTAATAAATGGTGGAGTCTGAATTGAGATCCTAGAAAGGAGCTTCTGGGGTCTTTGGCTGTAAGCTGCAATGTTACTCTAGGGGAGTATACTTTCTTTTTTTTTTTTAAGATGGGGTTTCACCATGTTGGCCAGGATGCTCTCAATCTCCTGACCTCGTGATCAGCCTGCCTCCGCCTCCCAAACTGCTGGGATTACAGACATGAGCCACCGAGCCTGGCTGAGTGTACTTTTTTATGAGAAAAAAGGACAATAAATAAATTAACTGAATTTTCAGATGGTTGTCAGTGGAGATGAAATAGGGCAACATGGTATGCATTAGCTACTCTGGATGTAGAATTGAGCTTGGCAAGCAGAGCAGGCCAGAGTGGCTAGAAGGGATTGGGAGCAGAGCTGCAGCGGGGTGAGCCCAGACAGGTGGGCTGAGGCCAGATCGCATGTGGCGTTCGAGGAGCCTGTCAGGTCATTAGACTTCATTGTTAGTTTCTCAGCTTGATACTGCTCACACTTAGGGCTGGAGAATTCTTTGTTGCAGGGACTGTCGTGTACCTCTTAGATTCCAGTAGTCCCCCATACCTCCTTTGGCCCATTTGTGACAATCAAAAGTGTCTCCAGGCTGGGTGTGGTGGCTCATGCCTGTAATCCCAGCACTTTGGAAGGCTGAGGCGGGTGGATCACCTGAGGTCAGGAGTTGGAGACCAGCCTGGCCAACATGGTGAAACCCCGTCTCTACTAAAATCACAAAAATTAGCTAGGCTTATTGGTGGGTGCCTGTAATCTCAGCTACTCAGGAGGCTGAGGCAGGACAATCACTTGAACCTGGGAGGTGGAGGTTGCAGTGAGCCGATATCGTACCATTGCATTCCTGCCTGGGCGACAGAGTGAGAATCCGTCTCAAAAAAAGGAAAAAAAAAAAATGTCTCCAGACATTGCCACATGATCTCCAGGGGTAGAGGGAAGGGTTAAAGTGCTCTGACAGAGAACTACTGGGTATAATTGGAAGTCACTAGGGGCTTTTAAGCAGGAGAAGGACAAGATTAGATTTATGTCTATAATAGGTGGTTCTTGGTTGGCATGGATCAGATTTATGTCTATAATACGTACCTCTCGGTTGGGTGTGGTGGCTCATACCTGTAATCCCAACAGTTTGGGAGAGGCTGAGGCGGATGGATCACTTGAGACCAGAAGTTTCAGACCAGCTTGGCCAACATGGTAAAACCCTGTCTCCAAGTACAAAAATTAGCTGGGTGTGGTAGTACATGCCTGTAATCTTAGCTACTTGGGAGGCTGAGGCACGAGAATCCCTTGAACCTGGGAATTGAAAGTTGCAGTCAGCTGAGATAGGGTCACTGCAGTCCAGCCTGGGCAGTAGTGAGACTCTGGAGAGAAAAAAGAAAAAGGTGGCTGTGGCTGCTTTACAGGTAATGTCCATAATGGGGGTAAGAGCGAAAGTGGGTGACACGGGGAGCTAGCTGTTGCATTGGTCCAGAGAGAAAGGATGGTGGCTTGGACTGGGTAGAAGCATTGGGAGTGATGCATAGCGCGGTTGGATTCACCTCCAAGGTATTCCCTCTGTGGGAATTTAAAAAATCTTAACCTTCAAAATCATCAAGCATCGATTGAGGTCCACAAGATATCCACCCCTGGGGTGACACATTCTAATGTATTTTTGCTTTACAGATGAATGAAATCGAAGTATGTCCAGAATGTTATCTAGCTGCTTGCCAAAAACGAGATAACTGGTTTTGTGAGCCTTGTGTAAGTTGGATTTACTTTGCTTATTTCATTTACTGAACTCTGTGCCATGGATGACTACCCCAAGACAGCTTTTTCCAGGTGGCTTATTAGATGAAACTTTGGATGGAGTTTCAAGATTAATTTTTGCTGAAAAAGTTATGGCAGAGAAAAAGTAATCCAGGTAGGATAAACCTCTTAGGCTGAAAGTTCATGCGCCAGAGATAGCATCATGGTTTCCTGGGTTGATTAGCCTGGGCAGACTGCAAGATGCAGCGTAAAAGGGAGCTCATCAGAGATGGGGAGGGCAGCAAAGCTGTACAAATCCTAAGATGAGCTTAAATCAGTGTGTGATTTACAAATCATGTTGGTTCTATTTTAAGAGGTTTGAAAATACTTCCCTGGATTAACTCCATAGTCCCTCTAAAACATGCTTCTTGGGGGAAGTAAAGTCACCCTAGTTTCCCCATGGATCTGCCTTTTCCAAGCTGAGGTTCTGCAGAGAGAAGTACATTGTTGGGGTGCACTTGTGTGTGTGTTGGGGGTGGTGGGTTGGAGTGGATTCAGGGGCAGGATGAGGCAAGGAAAGTTGAGAAAACATACTTTACATCTCTTTGTGCCTTTGGAGATTAACACTGGAATAGCGAAGGCTCTCCATAGCTTTCAATAAAGAATAAAGGTAGCAAAATATTGCCTCTTATTAGATCCAAGGCATGATGCACATTGAATCCAAAGGTAACAGACGGTATTGGTGTCATTATCTCTGTGCATGTTGCATAGAAAGGTGAAATCTTTTGCTCAATGCTGCACAAGTAATAATGGCACAGCCAGGATCCAACCCTGATTTTGTCATGATCTTTTTTTTTTTTTTTTTTTTTTTTTTTTTTTTTTTTTTTTAGATGGAGTTTCGCTCTTGTTGCCCAGGCTGGAATGCAGTGGCATGATCTCAGCTCACTGTAACCTCTGCCTCCTGGGTTCAAGTGATTCTTCTGCCTCAGCCTCTCAAATAGTTGGGACTACAGGCACACACCACCATGCCCGGCTCATGTTCCTGTTTTTAGTAGAGATGGGATTTTGCCATGTTGGCCAGGCTGGTCTCGAACTCCTGACCTCAGGTGATCCACCTGCCTCGGCCTCCCAAAGTGCTGGGATTACAGGTGTGAGCCACCTTGCCCAGCCTTTCAGTTTTTGATTTCACCATTTAACTTCATTTGCAGTTTTGTCCAGGTGTCTTGGCCGCACAGCTTTTAGAGAATACCACATGGGCCGACCCTGCTGGAAACTTCTCTTTCCACTAACGGCCTGTGTTCCACAATCCTGCTTCATCCTCACATACCAAGCTTAGTGGGTATATTGCTGCCAAATGTGTACAAACTCTGGATCTTGTTTTTCTTTTCCTAGAGCAATCCACATCCTTTGGTCTGGGCCAAACTGAAGGGGTTTCCATTCTGGCCTGCAAAAGCTCTGAGGGATAAAGACGGGCAGGTTGATGCCCGATTCTTTGGACAACATGACAGGTGGGAGCTAATAACAGGGTTGGAACATGTAGCTTTCACTGAACTTTGATACTGTTATTAGATGAGAAAAGAAGTGGAGGCTGTAGCTATTATTTTCATGATTGTCATGATAACCAGCCATTGATCTTGTTGAAATGAATTTTCCTGAGGTATGTTAAGCTTGATAATCACGTTGGCTACTGTTTTCTCAGTTGTTGAAATGAATTTTCCTGAGGTATGTTAAGCTTGATAATCACGTCGGCTACTGTTTTCTCAGGTGTGCTAGAAAATAATCTTACTTTACTGGGTCTGTTGATGAAACCAGCATTGGAATGGGTTCTGTGACTATTTGAAATGCTGCTGTTCTTTTTTTTTTGTTTTGGTTTTTGGGAGGAGGGGGTTTCTGAAGTAAATTAAACCTCCATGCAAATTGCTTTCCAAATCATTCTTCCAAAGATGAGAAGTAGTTTCCCAGATTGCCAGTAAATGAATGTCTTATCATCATGCTGAGTAGTTCTCTCCTATTCCCTTTTCTCTGAAGCTGCAGTGGGAAATTATAAGGGGTTGCTGTTTTGACAGGTGTGAGCCCTCCTTCCCAGCCTTCCTGCCCTCCCCTTTCCCTCCACACATGGCAGAGTGAATTATTTCAGCTAATAGCAGTTCCCTGTAGAGCGGAGCCCGCTGCGTGCTTGAGAACAACAGGTAGGCAGAGATGAGCAGCAGGTAATATCTTAGTCCTCTTTTAGCAAGTTATAATTAAGTAAGGCAAGGACCCTTTTGAAGCCCTACTGATCAGTTTGAGAAAGCGTGTTAGTGTATAGGGGAGACTACTTAAAATACATACACTAAAAATGATGTACACGCACAGAGGGTCCAGAAGCTGAAATTTGTTTCCCCTGTTAAATTCTGCAAGTCATCTTGCCGACCTAAAGAGTGAATTCCCCAGTCATTTGCAAACTCATTTCCTGGGAATCCCAACAGTCCACTGTGAGAAGACAAAACAGAAATTATTGAGATGGTGCTGGATTTGGTAGGAAGTATCACACCTTGACTTTAAGTCCTTTATTCCTTCATTCAGAGAAATATGTATTTGGTGCCTGCTGCGTGCCAGGCTGTGTAGTGGAGGCTGGTGATTCAGATGTTCCTGCCCATGTGAAGGCTGACATCCTAGCGGGGAAGAAGGATGGGACATAGGTGAACTAATAGGCAAGATAATCTCAGATCAGGAGGTAATAGTGGGGACCTGGTGTGAAGATCTGGGTCAAGGGACCAGGAAGAGCAGAGGCTCGAGAGGGGAAGGACTGAGGCTGAGAGGGTTCAGGAAATGCTGGGAGGACAGTGGTTTGAACAGGGTCAGGGGAGGAGAGGACGCCAGGAGCTGGAGTGAGAGGGGTAGGCAGAGGTTCGGATTTTATTCATCAGAGTATGGCAAATGTGAACCATCTTGATGATTTGGGATTCTTACTCTATAGATTATATAGTAATATAATAAGAGTAGATACACTCAGGGCACAGGCAGGGTGGTAGACAACAGTATCTACCACCTTGCGCCCAGTATTCCCAGACCCTTAGGGTTGATGGCTCTAGTCTCTCAGCCGTGACCGCTCTGCAGGGACCTCCATCTCTCACTTGCCAGAGAGCCACTGAGGGCAGCTTACAGGGCATGAAGAACAGCATGTGAGTTGGCCAGCTCTGTGTCAGCAGCTGTTTCCCAAAAACTTTCGTGTGTTTAGGTCTTGCTTCTGGATGAGAGCTGTCATGGAAGCTGGCCCCCTTCTGTTTGTGCAAAAGAAAGCAGCATGGGTCTGATGATCACGAGTTTCCTACCCCTCCTAGCACCTGCTGTATCTGCTCTGAGGGAGTGCACCACGCTGTCGGGCTTGTTTTGGTGAGGGGATCCCCTGGAGGTAGTTGTTCAGGACCTTCCACAGTGGTGGAGAAACAACTTTGGAGGTGTTGGGATGTTTTAGTAGGCTTTGGGCAGGGAAGTTCTGACAGTCATTCTTTTTTGCTTTGTCCCCCAGGCTGGTGTACAGTGGCAAAATCTCGGCTCACTGCAACCTCCTCGCTCCTGGGTTCAAGCCATTCTCCTGCCTCAGCCTCCCAAGTAGCTGGGACTATAGGCATGTGCCACTATGCCCGGCTAATTTTTTGTATTTTTAGTAGAGATGGGGTTTCACTGTGTTTCCCAGGCTGGTCTTGAACTCCTGGACTCAAGTGATCCATCAGTCTTGGCCTCCCAGAGTGCTGGAATTACAGGTGTAAGCCACCGTACCTGGCCTGGTTTCGTTTTATAGAGGCACAGGTATACACAGTTATGCAAAAATACAGGAAATATTTTATTAAATGCCTGCAGAGTTAAAAAAAAAAAAAAAGTGGACACCAATTGGTGCTTTAAGTGCTTTTTTGTAGAAGCTGCTTTTATGCCCATTTTATCAATAAAAAAACTTAAGATTAGAGCAGTCCTGCACCCAGGGTCACATAACACAGCTAGAGAAAAGCCACCTTGGTGTTGGAACTAACATAGTGTGAAGCTAGATATTGTCCCCACCCAGAGACTCTATTTGGTTAAGCAAGTCTAATTTCCCTTGAAATATTTCCTGGGTTTGTTTTATTTAATTAATTAATTAATTAATTTAAGATGGGATCTTACTTTGTCGCCCAGGCTGGAGGGCAGTGGCTTGTTCAAGCAATTTTCCCACCTTAGCCTCCTGAGTAGCTGCAATTACAGGGGTGCGCCACCACATCTGGCTAATTTTTGCATTTTTTGGTAGAGGCAGGGTTTCACCCCTGGTCTTGATCTCCTGACCTCAGGTGATCCACCCACCTCAGCCTCCCAAAGTGTTAGGATTATAGGCGTGAGCCACCATGCCGGCCCTGGGCTTATTTTATTTATTTATTATTATTATATTATATTTATTTATTTTTCACAATTTGACCTTTCAGTGTTATCCAATATTATATTTAATTTTGAGACAGAGTCTTGCTCTGTCGCCTGGGTAGGAGCATAGTGGTGCAATCTTGGCTCACTACAACCGCTGCCTCTGGGATTCAATTGATTCTCCTGCCTCAGCCTCCTGACTAGCTGGGATTACAGGTGTCTGCCACCATGCCCAGCTAATTTTTTTGTATTTTTAGTAGAGACGGGGTTTTGCCATGTTGGCCAGGCTGGTCTCAAATGCCTGAACTTGTGATGTGCCCGCCTCAGCCTCCCAAAGTGCTAGGATTACAGGCGTGAGCCACTGTACCTGGCAGTGGGCTTATGTTAAAGAAAAGATGGGGGCCGGGCGCGGTGGCTCAAGCCTGTAATCCCAGCACTTTGGGAGGCCGAGGCGGGTGGATCACGAGGTCAAGAGATCGAGACCATCCTGGTCAACATGGTGAAACCCCGTCTCTACTANCACGAGGTCAAGAGATCGAGACCATCCTGGTCAACATGGTGAAACCCCGTCTCTACTAAAACTACAAAAAATTAGCTGGGCATGGTGGCACGTGCCTGTAATCCCAGCTGCTCAGGAGGCTGAGGCAGGAGAATTGCCTGAACCCAGGAGGCGGAGGTTGCGGTGAGCTGAGATCGCGCCATTGCACTCCAGCCTGGGTAACAAGAGCGAAACTCTGTCTCAAAAAGAAAAGAAAAGAAAAGAAAAGAAACACTTTTCCCTCCCTGCCGAGGAATTTCATGGAAAATACATGGGAGGAGGGAACAGTGAGAGCCCTGGATACTGGACAAAAGTGCATGGGTAAAATGGGACTGGGGCAGGTGGCTGACGAGGTTATGAGACCAGCACCAACTGGTGATAAACTTCTGGTGGCCCTGCCTCTTGATTCTCCAGATAGGGACTCACTCTCCCTTTTCCCTGTGACAAAGCTGAGGCTGGCCCAGGGAGAGGAGCCATTTGTCCTGGGACAGCCCTGGAGACCCTGATGCCATCTCAGATCTGTTGTGTCTAGTAGCCCTGATCTGTGCCTGCTCACTTTGAACACAGAATCTCACCGTGAGGCAAACGCTTACCTTGGGGACATCTGGCTTCTGTTCCGCTCTGCCTCTCTTGCTGAGATACGGTTCTTCAGGTCTCAGCAAAAAGACAGCAGTCAGAATGGATGAGAAGCTGGTGACTTCCAGCAGTTTGATAGAGCAGATCGATATTTTGGGGATGTTTAGTTTTAGTTTGTTTTGCGATCTGGTATCGCCAAGACTTGCAAACAATCCGCCTGAATTCTGAATTCTGGCCCAGGAATATGCTTTATTTCTCCTGGGTTGTTTTCTCTTAGATGCCAACTGTTAAAATGGGGGTAAAATGTAACATAAGAAGTCTGTTTTTTCTTCTTCTCTTTAAAATGTTGGAAGATGTGGCAGTGTTGGGTCCAGATTTCTATGATTGCTTTGGATAGCAACTGAGTAGAGATACTCCTTTCTCCCTTTCCCCCAGACACGAGTTTTCTACTTCTGTGAAATCTCCTTTGTTCCCACCGCTTTCTACCAGGCTTGAGTTAGTGGTCTGTGAAATCCAAAAGGGCACCTTGGAGGTTGGGCGTGGTAGCTCACACCTATAATCCCAGATCTTGGGAAGACCAGGGTGGGAGGATCGCTTGAGTCCAGGAGTTCAAGGCTATCCTGGGTACTGTAGCGAGACCCCATCTCTACAAAAATTAAAAAATTATGTGGGTGTTGTGTGTGCCTGTAGTCCCAGCTACTCGGGAGGCTGAGTTGAGAGGATGGCCTGAGTCCGGGAGTTCAAGGCTGCAGTAAGCCCTGATCATACTTCTGCTCTCCAGCTTGGGTGATAGAGGGAAACCCTGTCTCTTTAAAAAACAAATGAAAAAGGCTGGGTGCAGTGGCTCACACCTTTAATCCCTGCACTTTGGGAGGCTGAGGTGTGTGGATCACTTGAGGTCAGGAGTTCGAGACCAGCCTGGGTAACATATAGTGAAACCCCATCTCTACCAAAAATAACAAAAATTAGCTGCCTCCTTTTAGGGATGCAGTTTTCCAAAGTTTCCTTCTAGTCCCATTTAGAATCGCAGTGGGAAAAGGCAGCTCTTTATGTCTGAGTGTGGTGTGAGGAATCAGTCTCTTTTCAAGGTGTTGTCGGATGCAGTGGCTGATTTATTTTTCTCCACCAAGAGAAAACCAAAGAGGATTGTTTCTTTAATGGCTTACAGTGACTAAGTCCATTGCACTTTTAGACAATTTAGCTGAAGTTTTGTTGTTCATGTTCTGTTATGGTAGAACATGCTTGTTAAGTGGATCATTAATTAATCCTTCAAACCAACTTGATTTTTTTTTTTTTTTTTTTTTTTT